ATAATAATAATAATAATAATAATAATAATAATAATAATAATAATAGGTGCACAGACGATTCCCCAGCTCGGAAGGGCACCTGGCAAAAGCCCTCCTGGCTCCGTGTTGCCCATCAGAACACAGGCAGAAGCTGGCCCTTGGGCTGAAAGGACACCGGCACCCCAGCCTGAGGCGAGAGGGAGGCAGGCCCAGGGCCGTCTGCCCCGGAAGGAAGCGCTTTCTCCTGCAAGCCTTCTAAAGCTCTGAGTTTGGGCAGTGAGGGTAAGCCACATGTGTGGGGTCAGCTCAGAAGAGGCCCCCCCACCCCTCTTGGAAACATATTCTGCAGCCCAGCAGTTTCAACTCAGGCTTGGAAAGGCAAGCTCCTATATAAATTTACTTGAAAATTCCTCCTACTGAAGTCCCTGGGGCTTGCTTCTGAGTAGACCCTTCTAGGAATGCCCTGTTGACCAAGGCAGGCTGCTGAAAATCCTCTGGGAACTGGCTGCCCCTCCCTCGCTCCTGCTTCCCCATCTTCTGAACCAATATTGATCCTCAGCTGTCCGTGGGCAAGTCCAGCTCAGCAGGACTGCCAGCCCCGTTGGGGGGCTTCCCATGGAGGACAAATGCTCCAGCAGGATCCAACAACATTGCAACAATGCGTCCAAGAGTCCAGCTCAAGCAGCAGAGGGCCGTGTGCTCAGTCTCACAGAAACAGAGCGAGTCAGAAGGGGCCTCCCGGGCCATCTAGTCTGACCCCCAGCTCCAGCCAGCTCCACTCATGACATGCTTGTTGTTAGTAACACTCCTTCCCTTCCCTTGGAAGAGCAAACACACCAGGCAGCAGCGCTCTGTTTGGAACTTTATTGCTATAAAGGGAGTCGGAGGGTTTCCTTCCCCTTTCCCACTCCCCGAGCACTTGTTCACATCCCATAATTATGCCCTTTCCCTGTCTTCTTCCCACTTCCTCTCCCTCATTTGCCACGGTACTGGGAGGATACAATCTTTTCTCTCTGTCTGCTCAACACCTGCTCCAATACCAGTTATTCCCTCCAACTTTCCCAGGTGCATAATGAGCTTATTTTCTATGTGTTAGTTAATTTTCATGAGGTCACTGAAACATAGAAACAGAGCAAGTCAGAAGGGGTCTCCTGGACCATCTAGTCTGACCCCCGGCACCAGCCGGCTCCGCTCACGACATGCCCACCATGTGCACGTCCAGCCTATCCTTGAACGCCCTCGCCAGTGGGGCCTCAACCACCTCCCGGGGAAGCCCATTCCACACCCTCGGGGTCCCGACTGTCGTGGCCTCTGGCTCGGCTGGAAAGTCGAGGTGGCTCGCTGGGGCTGAGGCGGAGTTTTTGTAAGCCATCTGCTCCGGCCAAAGATAGCCATGTTTTCTCTCTCCCCTAGGATAACCCCGGCAGGCTCGCTGCTTGCATCGGTGGAAGCACAGGGTCAGAAGGGGCCGAGGAGGCCACCAAGTCCATCCCTGCCTCAGTGCAGGACACCAATTCGCACCTTCCCACTCAGACACAGCCCAGAAGCAGCCTGCCCCTCGCAGCCCAGACGGTGGGCAGCCCAGCTCTCCTTTTCCAGCAGTCGAAGACCAAAGCCGCCGAGAGGCATGGTCCTTCCTCCTTAGGTCAGGATCCCGCAGCAATCAAAGCAGCATCCTCTGCAGGCACGGGAGCAGCGCTGCCCATGTCAAGAGCTGAATCTTCGCCCCAACCTCCCCTCGGAACAGATCCTGAGCCCACCTGTGCGGCTTGGGGGCTGGGCGGCGGGAACGCCGGGCTCTTCTTACAGGGTCCCTGCCGTCTCCAGATGGGGCCGAAGGACTCCCCCTCATCTCCTCCCCCAGTTCTGAAACGACTTCCCCCTCGTCCCCACCCCAGGCCTGGGCCCCACACTTTCCTGCCGTGCCCGGCAGAAGAGGATCCAAAGGCACCAGCGATGCCGAGCCGCTCTGTGCTGGGGCAGCGGGCGGTGGACGGGAAGCAGGGCGTGCTTGCAGGTGTCCGAGCCCGGCTCATGCACCTCCCCTTCCCCTGCGAAACTCGCAGAACACCGTCCCCTGCTCCTCAGAGGACCTTCCCCCATCCTGGATGCTCTGGTGAAGGTGTTAACAAAGCCTCGCGGCCACAGGTTGTGCTGGCTGGGGATAATGGGAGTTGCAGTCCCATACATCCGGAGGGCGCCAGGCTGGGGAAGGCCGGGCTGCTGTGCCCTGGGCAGGATCCTGGCCCTCCCTGTGCCACCTCCTGCCTCCTCCCTGCATCTGCCTCACCTATTTCGGTCTCCCTTTTCCGACCCAACTGGCGCTTCCGTGCAGTCTTTGGAGAGATGCCAGGAGGCCCCCCGCCTGTCCGCCGACCGCAGAGCCAGGGCTGCACTGCTCTTCTGCGTGTGTTCCGGGAGAGGAGCCCGGCCAGGTACGGTAGCCGGGGCTCCTGGATGGCGGCCAGGGCACGCTCCTCGCGGCTCCCCCGGGGCACGCACGTGCTCTCCCAGGCCGCAGCCGCTGTCCTTCCCCTCCACGCAGATCCTTGTGTGGCAGGGCAGGCAAAGCCCGGCACATTTCCCCGCAGTGAAGGAGGAGGCGGGTGGGAAGGCAGGGGCCGCTGCTGGCCCTGCCAGGGTTCTGGGGCTGCCTCCCGCCACCCGCCTGCTGCCGCGAGCGCCCAAGTCTCTTGGAGCAGGTGCAAGCAAAGGGCCGCCCACGCCTGCAAGCCCAGCAGCTTAGTGGCCTTCGGGAAGCTGGCGTGTCTCGGCATCGGCTGCCCCCATCAGCAACGGGGGGCTCACCAAACTCAATGACCCGTGCCGCACAAGAGCACAGGTGAGCAAGCTTGGCGCCTCTGCTGGAGGAGGCCATGCCGGCTGCACGCCACCCCCCCTCGCTGTTGGAGCAGCTGCCGCGACGGCAGGAAAACGTGCAGCTCCACGAAGCACAGGCCTCTTCCGGGGACGTGGAGCTGCCTGCACCCCAGATGTGCGCTCCCAAGCGCCTCGTTCCCTTGCACAGCATGGTGCATTTTGCTCCTGCCGCCACGGCAGCAGCCACAAGACCACAGAAAGGGCTCATGCGCAGCCCCTGAGCCACCTGCCCCTTAAGAAGAGCCTTGGTCCTGAACAGATGCTCCCAGGCAGCGCCTGGAGCTCCCGGCATGTACCCAACATCTGCTTCAGTGCAGGCAGTGTTCCTGCTTAAAGGGATCTTTCAAACCGTGGCAGTCGCGTTCCAGATCCAGGGGCATTCCCACCGCCCCATTCCTCACCTCTCTGGACCCTCCTGCTTCACATGCCTCCATGACCAGGGCAGCAAAGGATGGAGCTTTGAACTTTGAGCAACAGCACAGATGTTTTCTGCAGCTGCCGCGTATGGTGCAAGCAGTTTGCAGACACACGCCTGAATCGGCAGGACTGATAAAATGAGCAAGAGAGGACAGCAGCCTCCGCAGGGCGAAAACAAAGGCATGTGGGTCTTTTGGGCTTAGGAACGGCAGCTACATTTCGGCCGACACATCCGCAGAAATGCAGTCCAGAACATCTGGAAGGTCCCAGACTGGAGGCTGAGCCTGAAACGGTTAGAGACTATGGAGAACACAGAAAAAGGCATTTTCCCCCTCTTGTGTAACACGAACTGGCTGCTGGCTGTGAGTTTGTGGGAGAAAGCTACACCACATGGGGCTTGTCCAACCTGCACCGTGGCTTTCCAGGGAATCTTGGAAGTAGCTACTGGAAACAAGACACTGGAGTAGCCGCATCCAACAGGAGTACCTGAACTCCAAGGTCTGTCTCCCAGGAATGTGAAAATATCTACCATGCCCCAGAAGGAGTAAAGTCTTCAGAATTTTTGCCGCTCCTCTCTAAAGAGAAGGCTGTTGTTACCTAGGAATGCAAAACACTCCCACAATTGTTTCGGTTTGTGTTTGTGTGAGTAACCAAAGCAAGCCCTTAAATACACCCACTTCCCATCCACTGGTTGATAGAGACTGAATGATTGAACTTATAAACAGCCGTTGGCTTTGATAGCCCTGGGAAAATACGACACACACGGCTCAGCGCTTCTAAGAAGGTACTGACATTTACAAAGGTTTGTAGCTTAAGAAAGGAAACTGCAGCAAACCGCAAACTTTTCTTTGGGCAATCCAGACCCATGCTATTTCTCGGGTTATCTCAGTTCAGGCAGACAGCCCACGATGACACTACAGTCATTCCACAATTTGAGGGGAAGCTGCTCTGTCCCCACTGGGGAGAAAAAGGTTAGTTTCGATGATCAAGAAAACTTTCCTTCAAGCTTAGACACTGCTGATGCTAAAGATCACAATGTGTTAGGGTGGGTGGGGGGAAACCAGAAGTGGAAAATTACTCAGGTCGCATGCACAACTGGAGCCCAAAGGTTTGCACAAATTCAAAATTCAGTTTCATTAAAACAATGGGATTCCTAAATTCCAGGAATCATTTTGTAAATGATTCTAACTACCAATGCTTTGCAAAGGGAAAGCTACATTGAATAGGATGTTATTTTCCCTTATTAGGAGAATGGCTATTTAAATACCTAAAATATTACACACCCTGTTTTACTAAAACCTATAAAATCCAAGAGCATAGGCTATGGGGAAGGTTGTAAAGCTGCAAATCCCGAGCATGCTTGCCAGATAACGAAATTTTAAACAAAATGTATCAAGCACATCTGGCTAACAAATTCCTCCTAGACCTTATGAGTGGAACAGAAGCCAAACTGTTACCAGAGTGGAAGCACATGTCACTTCTGCGAAAGGATAGCAGAGGAAGAAAGAGATAAAAATAAATGTTCCATGTCTGAAGTCATCCTCATTCAGAATTCTGCCTCTGCGGAACAGCTGGCCAAGATCTCCAAGGCCTGCCAGCTTTTAAAACTATTATCTTTTTTTATTGTTTCTATATAGTCTCTTGCCTTAGTCCTCCTGTTTTCTGTTAAACTTGACAGTGTTAGGATTTCAGTGGAAGGCAAAAAACACAGGCAAGTTATTATTAGAGGTTCATGAAAAGCAGATGATGGTCTGGGGGAAAATGTTGAGCTATGCAGGGTAGGCTAGGCAGTGAGATGGCAGCAGCGTCCGGCAGCTTACGGGGGACATCGCGAAAGTGTGCCAGTTGTAGTTGTTATCAAAGTGTGTGTGGGATTGTCTGCCTTGAATGCCTACCTAAACTGGCTTGCCTTGGGGCCGAACTCACCCTGACTGGGTGGGGACGGGTGCACGGCCCTTCCCCCTCCAGCAGCAAAATGCCTTCCGCTAGCCTCGCGCAAGGGCCACTCAGGTGCACTGCGCTGCGCATCTCTAGCCCCTGTGCGGTGCTGAGCACACGGAGGCGCCGGATCCCGAGGGAGCCCCTCGGCCCCTCCAGCTCCAGCATCTCGCCCCACAGCAGTGCCTCGTCCGGGTGTTAGACTGAGGACGTGCCCAGCTGTGACTGGAGGCACTGGAAGGGAACCGTGCTTTGCCCTGGGCCGGCCTCTTTTCTCTGTACCCACAGAGACCCCACACTGCTGGGTGAGGCGGCCAGGGAGCGGCTGGCAATAAAAGGCCTTGCCAGGCAGGCCAAGGAGCTGCCAAGGAGTCCAGGATCAGCCAGTCAGATGCTTATGTGGAACCCACAAGCGGGAAGGAGTGCTGCAGCACCCTCCTGTCCCACCCATGTTCCCCAGCAGCTGGTGTACAGGGGCACACAGCCTCCGATCCTGCAGGCAGGCTAGAGCCATCAGGACTAGGTGCATTCACAGCCTTCTCCTTCATGGACTCCTCCAACCCCCTTTTAAAGCGGACCGGAGGGCGCGCCTGTGCCCCAGGGCGCACAGAGCGCGCCTCCCGAAGGGAAACACGGGCCGACGCGCGGGGCGCCCGGCAGCGAACGGTCTCCCCCCCTCGCCCCCCCTCCCCCAGCGGGTACTTACGATCACGGGCAGCGAGCAGACGGTGAAGAGGACGGTCATGAGCGCCAGCAGCACGAGCTGGGCCAGCTCCTCCGTCCGCCGCGCCCCGGGCGGCGCGGCGGCGCTCGGCCCTCCGGCCGCCGGGCGGCCCCTGCGCGGAGGCTGCCGGCGCGCCATGCGGTAGAGGCTCCTCATGCTGCCCAGGTTGCAGAGGCCCACGGCCAGCACCAGCGCGCCCAGCAGGCTGGCGTAGAGCAGCGAGTAGGGTCGCCCGGCGCCGCCGGCCATGCGGATGAAGCACCACGTGCCCGGGCAATACTGCTCAGTGGCGCCGAAGCCCAGCAGCGGCAGCGCGCAGAAGAGGGCGCACAGCGCGGCGCCGGCGCCGGTCAGCAGCGCGCCCAGGCGGCGGCTGGTGTAGCGCTCGTAGAAGTACGGGTGGCCCAGCGAGAGCCAGCACTCCAGGGCCATGGCCAGCAGCAGCGCGGTGGGCGCCAGCCCGAAGAAGGCCATGAGGAAGGCGAAGGTCTGGCACAGCGCGCCGGGGCCCGGCTCTCCCGCGCCCTCGACGGCGGGCGCCGGCCAGAGCGCGCTAAGGCTGCGGTTGCGCGCGTACGCGGCCAGCACGATGGGGCTCAGCAGGCACTTGCCCAGCAGGTCGGTGGCCGTCAGGGCGCTCACCAGCAGGTAGAAGGCGGAGGCGCGGGGCCGCCCGCCGGCGCGCTGCAGCCGGGCGCGCAGGTGGTGCTGCCAGAGGAGCCCGAGCGCCAGCGCGTTGCCCAGCAGCCCCGCCGCGAAGAGCAGCGAGCTGGGCAGCGCCGACTGGCCGCCCTCGAGGCTCCGGCTGCCGCGGCACCGGTACGCGCCGCCGTCCATGGAGAGCCGAGGGCGACGGGCCGGCCGTGCGCCTCCGCCGGCGGGGCCTCGCGAGGGGGGACCGGCGGAGACCTGCCCGTGAAGGGGCGGCTGCGCTGCCGAAGGAAGGAAGGAAGGAAAGGGCGGGCGCGCCGGACCCCGCCGGGCCGGCAGCCCTCCCGGTCGGACGGGGCGCGCGCGCGAGGACGCACCTCCGAGGGTGGGGCGAGCGGGCGGTGGGGTGGCGCGCACCCTCGTGGGCGCCGTCCGCCGGGGGGGCACGAGGCGGCCGCGTTCCCACGGGCGGAGAAGGGCCGAGCCTCGCGGGGAAGGGCGGGGCGCCGGCGGGGAAGGGCGCGCCGGGGGCTCGGCTGCCGGACAGGCGCTTCCCGCTCTCCGGTCGGTGCGTCTGGGTGCCGCGGGCCGGGGGCCGGAGCGGCTGCGGGGCGGCGAGCCGGCGAGGGGCGCGCCGCGTGTGCTCGGAGGCGCGCCGTCCACCCGCCTGGGGCAGGGAGCGAGGGCGGGCCCGGCGCCTTCCCGGAGGCGGCGGGGGCGAGCTCACCAGCCCGGCGACGTGGGGCGGGCGCCGGCCGAGCGGAGCCCTCCGGGGCGGCAGGGAGGGGGCAGCCGCCTGGGAAGCCGCGCGAGGGGCGAGCTCCCCCTCCGCCCGCGGACCCCAAGCGCGGGCGCCCCGGGCAGGTGGCTCGGCGCGGGCAGCACCTCCCCTCCGCGAGGGAGACGCCGGCCGGGGGGCCGGGGCAGGCAGACCTCTTCCTGCAGGCCACTCCCCGCGGCGGGGCCGGACCTGGCCTGCGCTGTGCTGGGGCCTTCCGTCTCGGCCCTCCTGCCTCAGCCGGGCCTGCTCTGCCTCACCCAGTCTGTGGCCCTGGCCCGGGCCCCTCTCTTCTACGGCTTGTGCAAGTGTCTCTGAGCATGTGCGGAATCCCTCTCGCACCCACGTAGAACTGAGCGGCAGTGACTTTCCAGAAATGAAGCCCTTCCCAGAGCCCTGCGATCAGGCGAGGGTGTCTTAGAAGCGTCCCTAAAAAAACTTGGAAGCGCTTTGGGCATTGGGCCAATGCAGGGCCTGCCTGGCCCAGGCAGGGCCGTCTCGACGCGTGGGCCTGATGGGCACTTGCCCGTGGGCCCCATGCTCATCTGTGTATGTTAACCCTCGGAAAATGGGAAAACTTCCAAAATTAACAGTAGTTGTAGTTGTCTTAGGGGCCCCAGTACACTGCTTTGCCCGGGGCCCATCATGCTGTTAAGATGGCCCTGGGCCTAGCGTCCTGCTTCCGACAGTGGTCAGCTTCTGGGAACTCTCCAAGAGGGACATGAACATGCCTGCTTTTGCCACTGCAGGGAGCTGGGCGACGCTTCCACAGGCCTGGCTGAATCCACCTCTCCCTGCAAAGAAAGCTGTGGCCAGAAAGGACTGTTGCTGATTTAGTTTTGGTCAATTCATTGGTTGTGTTTACTGGTATGTGCGAGTATATTTTATTCGAGGTGCTTTATTTTATGGTTTTACCTTTTATATGATCAGTCGTCGTTTTATTGCATGTATGTTTGGGGACTGAGCCCCTTTGCCAGCCCCAGGATGTGGGCAGCTAAACTGGCAAGTTCTCAAAACTTCTTTCCGTGAACGTAAGCACTCATATGTTCATCTAAATGTTAGTTTGTGTTAACAGTGGGTTGGTGCATTTTGTATCTATGTGGGAGAGTATCATCTCTGTAATAAGAAATTGTGTAAAACAGTTCTCATTGTCCAGCAGAAAGCACATTTCTCTTTTGCCTAGGCAAGCAACAGGTTCGTGCAACACAAGTTCAACAAAGGATTTCTTTTGTGTGCATTTTTGCATTGGTTGGATAGATTTCAGCAACCCAAACATTTTCTTCCTGAGACTGTGCTAAAGAGACTCAAAAAAAGGACATAGACTTTACACTTTATGTTGTGAGCCGCCCCGAGGCTTCGGCGAATGGGGCGGCATAGAAATGTTTTAATAAATAAATAAATAAATAAATAAAATGTATATTTTTATGTTCTAGTATTGTAAGTTGCCCAGAGAACCTTTGGGTTATGGGGCGGCATAGAAATAGAATTAAATAGATTCTAAGGAAGTGCCGACTTGGCTTCCTTGGTGACAGGCAAGACCATACTTTTGTGTCCTCAGGAGAGCTGGGAGCTCAGAGGAAAAAGCAGAGATTAAGAGCTTGGGCTGCAAGGGGAGGCGTTTAGACAGGCTAAGTCTGGAAAGGCCATGCCCCCCTCCAACCACTGGGACTTCCTGCCCTTTGGGAAGGCTCAGGGCAAGCAGAGCCCCTGTTCAGAGGACTTGGAGACTGACGTTTTCTCAGTGCCAAGAATGGAGGCCCTGGCAGTGTGGACGGAAAACACCGCGCGGCCGCATGTCAGCTCACAGGTGTTATATTCTCACCTGCATATAGCGCAGGAAAAGAAGCGTGGGCGACCCCACATAATCAGCAGGAAGGAAGCACAACGTGAAATGTGGTCTCCGTGCCCTGATACATGTTACAACAATCATGTAGCAAAATTTTCTGTGAACGTTGACCCAGTTGCAATACACGTCTCTTTGCATCGGTTGCTTTGAAGTAACATCCACTGAAGGAGAGGCGGAAGCAAGACGCACCCTGGGAGAGAAGGCCGGCTTTCTTTCCCCGGGGGCCGTATGCATTTGGCTAACCCTGCGTGCGAGCTGCATTAGAAAGCTGCAGCGCAAACGGCACTTGGAAAGAGAAGAAAAACGGCCATTTCATAAATGTTCCCTGGCTGTTGTCCACTTCACCAGATCCCTGAAGTGCTGCGCTGTTCCCGTAGAGAGACCGAAATGCGGAAAGCACGAGGAGAGGGTTCTCTTGGCAGCGGCCTTGCAAAGTGAGCCATAACAGACGTCCTTGAACTTGTGTGTGATTTGTCCTTGTCCTGCGCAAGCTGGAGGAGGATCCCGTGTTCCCGTCCGGTCAGGAGGTTCCCCATGGAGGGATCCATCCCACTGGTAAGTTCAGTTATTTGCGGCCTGGTGAGCTTTGTCCCACTAGTGCTGGGGGGTGGGGGTCCCAGGGGCCGTCCCAGGGAACTGGGTGATGCTGGGAAAGGTGAGGGAGGAGAAAAGTAACCTCAGCGGCTCTTTGGGGAGCCGGTTGCCTCTCGAGCCAGCTTTGCTCATCCTTCTCCAAGTGGGAAAGACGAGGAAGGAGTGAAACAGGCAGGGACCTGGCCTGGGTGGTCAGACAGCCCCCTGGGGCTTAATTGACCCCCGATTCCCCTGTGCTGGAGAGCCATGGCGCCATTTTTGCCGTCAGGGCTTGCCATGGCTTGTTGTGTCAGGCAAACCCAGGCTTCAGGGCTGTTTAGATTGGGAGGTAGTCAACTTTCCAATAACCCATGGCTTATCTTAGGGTTATTTGAGGTTTATCTAACCCTCAGACAACCTCTGCTGTTCGGGTTCGCATGACACAAGCTACAGCAAGCCAGATGTCCATGGGTGCCATGCAGAGATGGATCCAGCAGCCCTCATGCACAGAAAGACCCCAGACGCAGCCTTGAGGAGTGCCCCTTCCCCTTTTCCCTTGACCGTGACCTCAGCCCACATCCCTCCCCAGAGCCCCTCCCCACTCTGCTACATGAGCCCACCAAACAACCCAGGAATTGGTATGTTGTGTGAACCAGGTCACAGGCAGCTTTGGGGTTGGAAAATGCAAACAGACATTTTTCAGAAGCAGTGGACTTAAACAACAACCAAACTGCCAGGTGGTCCAGTTTTGTTCATGCATTTTCAGAAGAGAAAGATAAAGAATTCTTCAATTAAGTTCCAGCTACTTCCACAAAAAGGTGCAATTATTCTGTTTGTAAATTGAGGGATTGTATTTCCTAAAAAGAAGGAGATGAACTGCACAATCCTACACAAATTTACTCAGAAGCCAGTCCCATCAATTCCAGCCTGGCTTACTTTCAGATAAGTGGGATAAGATCACCAGCCTATGGGCACGAAGTTCTGTTTTTCTCATTATGATAATCAATGGTGAAGTTGTATTTAATTAGAAAGAATTTTGCATTAAGAAAATTCGTATCTCCAGGAAATTGTATTGGAAACCACAAGAATTTGGCAGCTGCTTGCATCAAACTACAGGAATCCACACACATGGGATATCACCAGAAGTAGCCCATTACCAAAACGTCAAAGGGGGAAGTTTTCACTGAGTCTTTGATGTTGGACAGCCGAGCTTGCTTGACTCACACATATACGACCTCTTGTATTCCCAGAACTGCTGAGAAGCAAAAGCCAGTTGCCAGTAATTATGTGGAGTCCCTTGCCTTTCGCAGCTCTTGGCCACATGATGGTTCTCTCGAACGAATCCTGCGCTTTTATTTGGGCTACTTCTGTATTGCCCACAACCTCAGTTTGGAGAGCACTTTGCAAGTAAAGTGGAAAAAAGATAGAAGCCCAGCTACGAAATGGGCCGGATCCTGATTTAATCCTAGCCGGAGCAGTGCCAGTGACGCTTCACTGGGTCGTGCTTTCAGCGAGCACCGGTTGAATAAATCTGGACCCAACTGGGTAGAATCGGCAACCAGAAGTAAAATCAAAAGGGGTACAAATCTGCCTGTTTAGAAGAAAACAATCCTACATATGGCATGTAGGAAGCTGTAGGGATTTTATCTTTCTAGGTACTGGACTGTATCCTAAAAGGCTCTGCAAAAGCCAGGGAGGGCCCTAGTTTTTTTCCGACTGCCAAAAAGAGGTAATATTACAAAATCCTCGCAAAGTCCTTTCCTGGAAGAATCATGAGTTGGAGCAATGAAGGGATAAAGGTTTCAGAGTTTGCCTGTTTCCAACATTTTGCAAGGAATTTGATTAATGTGAGGATCACATTTAAGGGTTTTTATCAACTTCTCCGAGCTTCAATCAAGATATCAATAAAGGCATGGACAGGTTTGCTGTAGTTGCATCTTCAGTTGTAAGGCTCAGGGGCTGATGGATATTCCTCCTTTCTCTCTTGTGGTCTGAATTGTTCAAATTAATTTGTATTCATGTGTGCAATCCTTCCAAAAGCTGAGATTATAACAGCCCAAAGACGGGGGAAAATTTAGGTCTGTGGCTAAGCATAGACCACGTTTCTAATTAGTTTAGCTAGATGTTTTGATCCCATGTTAAGTAGCAATGAGATTGCTATTGTGAGGATAATGGGATGAAGACCAGAGGCATCCCTTATCTAGGAAACAGAAGCACCTAAAGCCAACAGTCGCTTAAAACCATTTAAAGCTCGTTTTTCAAGACCATCTGGAATGCTTTCATGAAAACATTCCTAAGACCCTCTGGGACAGTGCCTCTGCTAAGAGAGAGTATAATTAATTATATGCCGTTATTCTAGTCCTCATGATGGAAGATGATCAAGGAAGTGTGTAGCCACCTCTTGTGAGAGACCTCCTACCCCTTTCTATTCTTCCGAGGAAACCCTCAATCCTGTGCCTGCCTGGGGATTGAAACGTCTGGGCAAATGAGAACCAGTTCTGCTAAGCTCTGGCATCCTCCAGCACTAGCAGAATCTGGGACTTTGCACGGGTTCAGACAGCACTATAACCCACACCCAAAGGTTAAGTAAGGATCGGGTCGGGTCGTTGCTGGAACGTGGGCTGTTATGCTGCTTGAAGCTAGCTCTGTTAACGTGCCCTGGCATGTGAACCACAAACAACCCAGGAAGAAACCATGGTTTGTGAATTGTGGGTTGCTCATGATGGGTTCAGGCAGCATGATAACCCACAATTCAACCACCCCCGTGGTTCCAGGGCAACCCATACCCAGCCCTTGAGTGTGGGAAGCGGTATTGCCCAAACCCAGCCTTGGAACCTGCCTAGTACTGGCCCAAGTTCCGTGATGCAACAGGGCGTAATTTCCTAGTGGGCGCTGCCCTGCTGTGCTGAATCTCTGCGGGTGCCCTTTTTCTGTGGTGCCAGTGGGTTTCCTGCTGCCCGGGTTGTGCAAATCCGTGGGTTGTTTTCTCCAACAAGCCGTGCGCGCTGGCCTTTGCGAGCACCACAAGCCATGCCTGGTCGGATGTTTAGCCAAAGGGTGCCTGGCATGAGCCAAGCAAGCCAACATGGCTCGTTACACCCCATGGTGATCGTGTGAACCAGGTCATTGCCAACACTGATTGCCGAGCCTTCAAAGTTCACAGGGACTTTCAAGCCCTGTCTTAAGGACTAGAGATTGAAGGTTTTTGCCTGCAACGTGGTGCCCAAAACTAAGCTGTGGTGCCATCAACTTTCCTCCAAGGTGGAGATTAAATTAGAGGACTGTCCGCTGCCTGATCCCTTCCAGTTGTCTTGGCCGAGATGGATGGGAGGTGCGGTCCCACACATCTGAGGGTACCAAATTGAGGATGGCTGGGGAAAAGTAGCACTTTGCCTTAAAAAGTGGCAACCGGACTGGGTTGCCCTTAAAAGGCCACTGCAGGGCTCTTGATGCGCTATCAGCTGGAAGGACCAAGGAATGGGTCCAGCCAGGTCCAGAAGGCCTTGGTAGAGCCGTTAGCAGCTTGGCTGCGTTTGATGCCCCAGCTAAGCTTCACGGCTCTTTGCTCCCGCCGCCAACATAAACAATGGCTTGTGCAGAAAAACACACACATAATTTACGAGGTTTTTGGACTCTGCTGGAAACGGCATCAACTCACAGGAAACCTTTGACATCCTGGCAATTCAATAGCATACCATTTTAAAGAAGTAAGATTTGGACAAGATGCTGAGATTATTTTTCTCTGAAATGGGAAGCACGGTGCTGTGTGGGTGCTCATGGGCGCGCGGGTGACACGGTGGTCGTCACGTGCCGTCTGGACATCTCCAACTTGCGGCAGCCCTTCGAACGAAAACCCTCCAGCCTTTCACAGCCCTGCTCAGATCCTGCCAACTCAAGGCTGCCCCTTCCTTTACGGAATCGTTTCTTCTCGCCTTTGGTCTTCCGTTTCTTCATCTGCCTTCAACTTCCCCTGCCATGACTGTCCTCCAGGGAGTCTTGCCTTCTCATGATGTGACCAAAATATGACGACCTCCCCAGGTTTGCCATTTTTGCTTCTAGGGAAGGTTCTGGTTGAGGGGCAAGTCCTAAGTGAATCCCTCGACATGGGGCAGATGGACTCTGGAAGTCCTCAGAATTCTCATCAAGGCTCACCCTGGAGATGAAGCTGCAGGTGAGGGTGGCTGGTCCCAGATGTCTCTTCTGAGCATCCTCCACCGTTGGATGATTCAGTCCTGACTTGGTGAAATTGTTCATCGATGCCACCACACATGGCAAGACCCCCAAACCAAGTGCGTAAGAGCCGTGTGCAGCCAGTGGCCTGCTCAGGATCCTGTTCTTGCCCACCTGATGCCTTGGTGGGACATCGACCAGTGGGGCAGCAGCATGAAGGCAGCATCACCTGTCCAGGTGTTGGTGCTGCCAGACATAAAACTTCTGAGTCTGGAGGCAAAATGTGGCCTTGCTGCCTAACAGCCATTGATAGGCTTCCCTGCCTTTTAAAGCCAGCCATGTTGGTGGCTCCCATTAAATTTTGCTAGTCCGTCAGGATGGGGCTACCGGAGAAAAGGCCCTGTCTCGTGCCCCAAGATCTGTCCGGTTTGTGGGCCCAAGAGAGCTTTTCTGTGGTGGCCCCATCTTTCAGAATGCCTTTTAAGAATTTTGCCTGGCTCTGTGGCGCCTTTTGAAAAAGGCCTTAAGGCATGGATGTTTCAGTCTACTTTTGACTGCTGTCACCCTAGATTCCATATTTTATACTGGACAGTTTTATCTGGCAGTGATACTTCATTTTTATTTGCAATTTATTTTCTTGTTCTTTTGGAAAACTGCCCAATGGAATTTTACCGTTCAATTTTTTTTATTTTGCAAATCCTCTTGAGAAGAGGGTTTTAAAAACTGTTACGAATAGTCTAAACATGTTCTGAATGGCTAAAAATAAATGAAGAACCAAAGGTGCAGCCACTGAAGTCCTTCTTTTGGTCTGCCCTGTGCTTCGCAATCTCCACATGCGTTTGAAAAGGTTGCACAGTTGCTCCTTGGCAGTTTGGTCTACTTTGTCATCTGATGTCTAAATGTCAGGAGAAGACTGGAAGAGTGAGGAAGTGTTAGTCATTGCTGTAGGGAGAAAAATGTGGGTTTTGGGGTGGTGGAACCGCATGATTGATGGATGTTTACTTCTCCGTCACCTAGCAAGTAAATGTGGAAATGGTTACGACAAACCCTCTCGGGGAGCTTGAGAGATGCAGTGGTGACCTTTGCTAGTTTGGCTGGGTCAAACCACCGGAGAAGTCCAAGGAGTGCGAATACTGACAGAAGTCTTTTTTAAAAAGGATCTCTCCTCTCTGAATGAGGGAGTGGGTAGACCTTCTTGAGGGGTGAAGAAAGCATGTGTTTTTGTTCCCTCTTATTCAAGCTATATGTCTGTGCGCCCACATATGAAGAATCATAGCCGTCACCAACCTGAAGCCTTCTAGATGCTTCTCAGTTCCACCCTCAAACACACTTCTGGCTGGGTTGATGGGTCATGTCATCCAAATGCATCTGGAGGGCATTCCTGCGGGGTCAGGCTCTACAGTTCGTTGGGTCCCTCCTATTCTTGGGAATAGGAACCTGCCAGAAAGCATTGCTGGGACTGTGGAATCTTGGTGCTTTCCCTGGAAGTAGCGCGTGGTTCTCGCCCTGGGCTGAGGGATCGGCAGATGCCCAGCCAGCTCCAGATCTGGTGAGACACAGGCTGTATCTGCATTGTGAGCCCATTCTTAGAGCACTGGTAGGAAGTCCAATGCCTTCCTGAAGTTTTGGACTACAACCCCCATAACTCCTGCCTGTTGGCCATGCTGAGATGGTGAAAACAAGCCTTCATTTGCTTTCTGTGTTCTGCGGTCATATTTCATCATTATATTCAATAAACTGCAGATTACCTCCGACATTCATTTCTTCCCAAGTATCCTCACATCTGAAGGAAGGTGCCTTTGCTAGCCCAGGACCCTTGGGGTTAAATGTGCTTCCTCTCCATTTGATCCTCACAACAGTCCTGTGAGGTAGGCTGAGAGTTTAGGCTCAGAGTCCCCCGGTGAGTGTCATGGCCAAGTGGGTCCGAGGACCGATCACCGCACCACACGGGCCTGTCTGGGTCCAGGTGAGGCAGTTCTGCTAACGGAGTAGAATCAATCCCGAGGCTGAAGCAAAAGCTACAGCGAGTTTTGCGGCACCCAAAGCCAAGCGCATTAATTGGGGATTTTGGTTCCTGCCGTCTGCAGCCCACACCCTCTGATAGCTGCCCAAGGGCTTCTTGGCACAAGAGCCGAACTGGTCATTAGGTGGCTTGATGTTATCCAGATTTCCATATGCAAATGACTGGGGAAAGCTAGCAGGCAGCCCCGCAATGGTGCGCAGAGAGCACTTCCACCCCCAAAAGAATGACTTGGCTGCAGTGCAGAGGCAATGGAGGGGCTCCCCCCAGATCCGGTCAAGGCACCTTCTGGGCGTGAGGCTCAGCTCCAGAAAGTGCCTGCACCCAATTTCCAGGGCTTACCCCCGCCCCCCCCAAGTGCAGGACCTGCAGCTGAAGGGCCAAGATCTTCTCTCTGTGATCCCCCAACAATGGTGCCCCTTTCTGTGGCACTGCCGGTTTCCCCCAGCCACCCCTTGCTGGGGGGTTTCCTGGCTTTGGTGCACCGTTTCCCCCATTCTAAAGGTTGGTTGTCTCCCCACTCCAGGGCTTAGTTACGAACACGGAGCTCTTTCAGCAGAGCAGGCGGGGGCGGGGGGGGGGGGGTTGGCACAGTCGCTTTTTGCTGCACCACTGAAACGTGGCCCCCAAAACTTCCCAAAAACAGAATGCGTTTCTCCGGCTGGAATGCCTTTCAGGCCCTTTCCCGAAGAAGCAAATGCGCTTCCCGGTTCACTCCCTGCCGCTGAAACTTGGGCAGTGCACCAGGATGCCCATCTACAGGCACCGCAGCACCACTTCCTCGGAGCGCTTCTCGGCGCATCGCCAGGCGGGCAACTCCCTCGGCAAACGCCTGAGCCAGAGGGGGATTTTTGCCTGTCAGCGTTGTACCCGCCCCAACTGGCTCGGATGGAGGAACGTAAGCTGTCCTAAAAGGTTTTCTGGATCAGAGTAAAAAAACCCAGTTCCAGCCGTGAGCCAAAGAACGCTCAGTCCTCAGTGGCTTGTCGTTTTTCTCCAAGGTCCCCCGCTGCCCCCGTTTTTCCTTGTCTGAAACCAAATGCAGCTGCAGAAGATGCAGTGTGAGTGGGAGAGAGAGCGCGAACGAGCGAGAGTGAGCACGCAGGCAGGCCTGAAACTCTCCTCGACTTTTCCAGCTGAAGATAATCTCAGTCTCTTGAAGCAGCTTCCCCTCTCAAGGGTGGTTTGGCAGGAGATTTTTAGCAGAACATTTGGCTCAGGGGCTTAGAAGACTCTCACGCTCGCTACTGGCTGTGCCGTCTCCCATTCTGGGTTACAGACCCCACATGGCAAAAAGGGAAGCAGCGTCAAAGAAGAAAGAACACACGGTTGTGCGGGTTCAGATGTGATGCCAAGCCATGCTTTGGCCGTACACCAGGAGCATGAGAGGCCGCTTTATACCCAGCAGGATTGTTGGTCCTTTGTGCTGGGTGCTGTTTGGCAGCGTTTTGTACAAAGTGATCAGATCCAGAACCGCAGCCCTTTGCCACAGAGTTACAGTCACGAATCAACCCTTTTTGTGTGCTCCTCCCTCCCCTGGCCACCTCTTCCTTCGCTCCTGATGCAGAGCAAACCACAGTTTGTCCTTCCATCCAAGCCCAGGAAACAGTGGTTTGACTCCAGGGTACTTTGCCTGCAAGCCAGGATTGCAAGCCATCATTGGCCCAGTTAGGACGTTGCCGCATTTTGCTGCTATATCAGATGTGAGATGCGAAATCGGAGTGCAGGAGAAGGAGATGATCTGAAAACTGTTACGTCTGCATATAGGATCGATGCCACCAGCACAGAAAGAGGACGTGTAAACGAGCTTCCTTGAGCTCGTGCTGATGATAGGTCGGCCAATTCGCCATCCGTTGTCCCCACCACGTCCACACTCTTGGAAAGAGTCACGTGCTTTAGATACACAAACTGGAGAGAGCTGCGCTGGCCCATGAGGAGGAGCTGCTCCCGAGAGCCACACCTGGGCCATAACTTAGCTGGATTAGCCCAAATTCCATGACAGCCTTTGCACCCGATAGAACCCTCCATAGCAGCAGCCGGTCGTGCCTGCATCCCGGGTGAAGCCTCCTTAAACGACTGAAAAGCGGATCCATTTTGCGTCATCTGGGTTGGCCCTTAAAAGTATCAAATCTCTGAAGAATTTGGGTATTTTATATAGGTGCAGTTCTTTGGTTACTGCAAATAATCACTTTTGAAACTTCAGTTTAAAACACAGCTGATAAGTTCCAAACTGGGACTGGCCAATAGGATGGGCACCAATGTTTCGTCAGCTGCACTGGTTTCCGTTTCATTTCCGAGCCAAATTAGAAGTGCTGATAATGCCCTATAAAGCCCTAAATGGTTTGGGACCAGGCACTAAAGGAGTGTCTTTTCCCATATGAACCTGCTCCTCCTCTTGGGTCCCATCAGCAAAGGAACCTAGGCAGGTGGAGTGCCAGAGGGAGGGTCTTCTCATAGGTTCGTTGTTGTTGTTGTTGTTAGTCGCGAAGTCGTGTCCGACCCATCGTGACCCCATGGACAACTTTCCCCCAGGCCTTCCCGTCCTCCACCATCCCCCGGAGTCCACTAAAGCTCACACCAACTGCCCCAGTGACCCCATCCAGCCACCTCATCCTCTGCTGTCCCCTTCTTCTTTTGCCGTCAATTGTTCCCAGCATTAGGCTCTTCTCCAGGGGGTCCTTCCTTCTCTTTAGGTGGCCAAAGTATTTGAGTTTCACCTTCAGGATCTGGCCTTCTAAAGAGCAGTTGGGGTTGATCTCCTCCAGGACTGACCGGTTTGATCACCTTGCGGTCCAAGGGACTCGCAGGAGTCTCCTCCAGCACCACAATTCAAAGGCCCCAATCCTCCAGCACTCAGCCTTCCTTATGGTCCAGCTTTCACAGCCATGCATTGCAACTGGGAAAACCATCGCCTTGACTAGACGCACTTTTGTTGGCAGGGTGAGGTTCATTCCCCTTCCCCAAAGATGCTTCCTGGTGACTGTAACACTAACTCTTCAGCCTCAGCCAAAGACCTCTTTTCCCTCCAAGGCAATTCAGAGACCCAGTTCTAAATTTGTAGAGC